CATTTCCATGCCCAATAATGTGCTGTCCACAATTGATGATAGGCACTTTCGATTAAGTAAGGGTATTCGGAAGCAATATTCCTCTGTCGAAGATCGGCCGGTCAATGTAAGCTACGAAATAAAGAAATTCTAGTTCAAAATCAAATCGTTCGATTTTTGCGGCAGACGTTCGACGCGCGTCTTTCATGCATCTCGCGAGATCTCGCAATTGTACAGAAAATCACCTATTAGTCCACGGCAACTGAAATTAACCTTCTATATACTGTCAGACAGGGAAAGCTTTCCTGTAATACAAAAGATTGACTTACTAACATACAAATTAGTTTTCAAGGTTACCAGAGTTCTGGCAATATTGACATACAGTTCCGAGCCGGTCTTGGGTTTCGAACGTTTCGAACATTTGGAAAGAATTCAATGTCTTCATTGTCATACATTCCGTAGTGTCTCGACCAAGTTCTGCACTGCTTGGTAAGTGTGGGAGTTACACGGTATGCTTTCTGTGCCCAACGATACGCTGCATGAAATATTCGGGAAACGTTGTAGATATGCCAACGCATAGATACCGTACTTTGGGGCAACCAGAGGTGCGAGAATTGTACGAGATATTTGTGTTTTATTTTATGTCATGCATATTAAAGCGCGGTGGTCGTCGCGCAGCGCGTGTTCGAATTTCATGTAAATAAACAATGTATTTTACATGCGTTGTATACGTCGCTATGAGTCCCATATTGAACAGGACGCGGCACGACGACCACCGCCCTTTAACTTATCTGAAATAAAAGGCGCAAACTTGAAAAGGACCCCGAATCAGTTAAACACCTCGAACTAAAATACTGATTCTTCTCATTTGTATCTAAATAGTTTTTGGTGCGAACACATGGTCTACATCAGACATGTGACATTACCAACTGTCAACATATTCATTATATCTACTAAGCAAAGAACGTTCGATTGTCACTTGTTGTTCTCTGGAAGAAAAATGATTAATATTAGTTTAGAAAAGACCCACTTCGTTGTGAACTCCAAAAGTGGGTCAGTGTCCTAGAATTCTACTCTACGTCCTAGATGGGTAAGATTACGGACAGTGAGAAGATGGAGGCAGAGACATAGACGGCACTGCACGAGACTGTTCGTTTTCATCATTCATATCGAACCCGATACACCGTGTATGTTGCCATAGGCGTAAACCGTATAAATAATGTTGTTCGCAAACTTTAAATAAAACGAGAAAAATATAGATGTATTTATCAGTTGCTACATGACTGAATATTTTGCTGAAATGAGTTCACCAATATATCCTGTTCATATCATGATGGGTGCCAACCTGACACCATTTGGCTTTTTTGCTAATTTGCATAAATTCAATATAAACTCCACCTTAGAATAAAAAGAGAATAGTGGTTTGTGTTTCGGCACCTCCCTATTTAAAGTGATACTTATAATTAGTTAACATATATTGTTCACACAGAAGCTTCTAGTATGCATATACATGTTTACAAACAAGCGTCTACCCATGAGCCTTTGCGTTTTTAGTGTGTGCTGTTATCGTGCGCAAGTTACGACCCTCCCGCTTTAATATATTCCCGGGTATATAATCGTGATTTTCAAGACAGATTTCATAATAATATTTCACGTGAATGTATTAATATATGAGGTGATTCTCTTGTTCTTGACACAAGGTCCAAAATGTCTTGCGTTTTAATTTAAGTAGATCGACCAAGAAAGTACATACCAAAGTTGAACAAATGTCCGCAGCATCTGAATATTTAAAACAGTGTCCGTTTCATTTGCCTAGCTTAAGAATATACTGCATAATTGTGTGAAACCTTGGAACTAAACATGATTTGATTTGAGTAAATTCAGTAAATCCAGAAAACGAACGAGCGTGCGATTATCTCTACTTCAGCGTTATTAAAGTAAAACATTTTTTTTACGGAAAATCGTGCTTAAGTATTTGCGACATTTCCACGATGCTATGAGACGTGTATAACATTTCACGATCTCGACGTATCGGTCTGTCAACAGCCACTTTGCCCAGGCGTCAAGTAGCACCATTCTGGTTTTCTAGTGTCGAGTTTTCTTTTGTACACGCTCTTTGACGACGCGATTGACAGACATGTTTTACTGCGCCCTAGACTTCGCATAATAAGTAGCCACCCTCTTAAATACCTAATACTACCACTTGATACTCCAGTAGATTGTGTTTTTCATTCTGATTTTTTAAAAGCCCCCCTTTTTCACCGCATAATACGACGAGTGCGCGGAAGTGGTGGCACTATGTGTTTGCCGATGTCACGTTTTCTCACGATGTTGAATAGGCAGTCAAACAAATGTATTACTGGTCGAGAAAAGTCTTTATTAATATAGTGTTTAAGACAAATTGTTTTCGCAATGAATACTCAACGATCAGTTTGATTTTCAGTTCAGTTGAAAAATAAAATGTCAATCGGTAGTAGCACATCATGATGAAGATACTGTATTGTTAAAACTGAATCTCCCGACATGCACACCGCCACAGCCGTCAGACAGCGTACCACAATCGCCTTACATTGTGCGTTCGAATTTAAAGGGCGGCAGTCGTCGTGCCGCGTCCTGTTTGATACGGGACTCATAGCGACGTATACAACGCGTGTCAAATACATTGTTTATTTACCTGAAATTCGAACACGCGCTGCGCGACGACCACCGCGCTTTAATACACGATTTTACACGGTTGTATACGTCGCGTGGCGCCTGTACCGAAATTTACGCGGCACAAAGGCTGTGGCGCCTAATAGAGGCGCAGCGTCGAATTTTGTGCAAACAATGTTTTTACTTGCGTTGTATGCATCGTTGTGAGTTCCATATCGAACACGACGCCGCACAAAAGCTGTGGCGCTTTATAGAGGCGTAGCGTCGAATTTCGAATTTTTACTCGCGTTGTATGCGTCGTTATGAGTCCTCCAATCCTACATAATTTCCACTAAATATCCATGAGAAAAAAGTTCACATGGTTTCATAATTCTGCAAATACAACAAGTGTTCCCATCCCACACAGTGTCGATTTTAGCTGAAATCATAAAAAAATATTTGAAGCCCTCTCAGTACCCAACAAGCCTATGTGGCGTCCCACTGGAACTCCCAGGGCAATGATACGCGCGCATCGAGAGGTATTACATTCATTGGCAAATTTAAAATGCTCCGCACATTTGTATTTGTTTACTTTGACGGCATTTAAAAAATCTACAACGCTGACCGCAATGAAATATCACTAGAGTCGTATCTAGGGTTCGGTGAAGTGGCGTATACATTATAGACTAAAAGTTTACAGACAAATTTATAAAATGAAATTAAAAAGTGAGCTTTCTAACAAATTTGAATTGTGTTGGTTGAATTACATCGTCCACTCTTTCACTGACATGTATGGAAATAGGGATAAAATTTTGAAACACAACAACTTTCGACAAGTCACAGCGAAACAAACAACTGGAAAAGATGCCCTTGACTCCATAACCACATACCCGTAATTCCTGACATTACACCGTCAAAACGTTCAAATCGTCTACGTCGTGCGGTGAATCAACCTCGAAATCTAATCAAGTACCCTTGTGTGTCATCATCAGAAACTTTTAAATTAGCATACCACGTCCACAGCGCCGAGTAAGTACTCCCATACTTCACCGTGCTGTTGTCGTACCCCTTGTTGTCGTAAAAAAACTATTAGATCGTATTTTATTATTCATACGGGATTGCATTCCCACGGCCAAGCAGACATCAAGTCATTAACCGCAACCACAAGGCGAAGTGATTAAGACATTGTGCATTGCTCATGCGCGGATTTAGGGCGTCCACTTCAGCCCGCAAAAAAAAAATGACAAATCAATTGACAAACCTGGCCCACCGGAGTTGAGCGGATAGGAGCGCGCCCCCTAACCGAATTTCTGGATCCGCCAGTGCTGATTCGATTTACCAAAATTTGTGGATCTTCACTTACTAGTGGATGAATACTGATGGGGGTTTCTCGTCCAAGAAAATATAACGGTCCCTATTTATTGCTAATTATTGAAATTGCGGTGATATTGTAGAACGAAATGTTCCTAACATCTCGTCAAATAGCTAAAACACAAGACGATATGAGGAGCGTTATCAAGAATAACGTCATGAATCGATGAACTGAATTAAATCAAATAGTCTATCACCCGGTTCTCGTGAAGGGATCAAACCAACATTGAACCAAACCCCAAATATCGATCTCGACCTGCTAGAGACTTTTCCCGCGATATAAAAACTCCGGTTACCTGATTTTATTACCTTGGTTACCAGTGTGTAAAATATACTCATGCTTTACATCAAATGTTGATTTCGTAGGCACCTGCCAAGAGAGAAGGGAGTTTCCTTGCGTACGCCCATAAGCCCGGGGAAAAAACCAAGTCGATCACAATAAATGCTTCTCGTCAGATTTGAAATGTCTCGCCTTTTATTATCATGTGGAGTCTCGAGCAACATGTGATTGATGATCATCGTTAACGACCGTTTTCTATGTTTGTGAAGCACACCCTGCTCAAGTTATTTCAAGCGTCGGTGGAGGGGGGGGGGGTCTGCAAGCCAGAAAAAATGACGAATGACTGTCATAAAGTCGTATTTCAATTAAAAAGTCGAGTGCGTACAACGATTTATTCAGGTGTGAGCATCGCAACAACAACAAAAAACGAGCAAAAATTGTGCTAATAACAAACTGATGTACTGGTGTAGCAGAGCGGGGCGGCTCGGTCACCTGTGAAAGTCATTATCATAGACGACTGATTAGAGTAAAAAACGCAAGAATGTTGTCAAGTGTCCTTTACAAGAAAAACAATAAAGATATGCCTGTGAACTATGCGAACTCCACGGAGCGTTAATAAATACTAGATTTTTTCTCTGGTTGTCAGAAAAACGGTAATTACCGAGTGATGAATGAAATGGTCGTCACCGCGACCTCTCCAAAATGTTTGTTACAAGCAAGCAAGCTCGCCTAGCTACCATTAAAGTAGACGTGGATGACCGTGGTGTTTAGGTAGAGTTGGATGATCGTGGTGTTTAGGTAGACGTGGATGACCGTGGTGTTTAGGTAGAGTTGGATGACCGTGGTGTTTAGGTAGACGTGGATGACCGTGGTGTTTAGGTAGAGTTGGTTGACCGTGGTGTTTAGGTAGAGTTGGATGACCGTGGTGTTTAGGTAGAGTTGGTTGACCGTGGTGTTTAGGTAGACGTGGATGACCGTGGTGTTTAGGTAGAGTTGGTTGACCGTGGTGTTTAGGTAGAGTTGGATGACCGTGGTGTTTAGGTAGAGTTGGATGACCGTGGTGTTTAGGTAGAGTTGGTTGACCGTGGTGTTTAGGTAGAGTTGGTTGACCGTGGTGTTTAGGTGGAGTTGGATGACCGTGGTGTTTAGGTAGAGTTGGATGACCGTGGTGTTTAGGTAGAGTTGGATGACCGTGGTGTTTAGGTAGAGTTGGATGACCGTGATGTTTAGGTAGAGATGGATGACCGTGGTGTTTAGGTAGACGTGGATGACCGTGGTGTTTAGGTAGAGTTGGTTGACCGTGGTGTTTAGGTAGACGTGGATGACCGTGGTGTTTAGGTAGAGTTAGTTGACCGTGGTGTTTAGGTAGACGTGGATGACCGTGGTGTTTAGGTAGAGTTGGTTGACCGTGGTGTTTAGGTAGAGTTGGATGACCGTGGTGTTTAGGTAGAGTTGGATGACCGTGGTGTTTAGGTAGAGTTGGTTGACCGTGGTGTTTAGGTAGACGTGGATGACCGTGGTGTTTAGGTAGAGTTGGATGACCGTGGTGTTTAGGTAGAGTTGGATAACCATGGTGTTTAGGTAGAGTTGGATGATCGTGGTGTTTAGGTAGAGTTGGATGACCGTGGTGTTTAGGTAGAGTTGGATGACCGTGGTGTTCAGGTAGAGTTGGTTGACCGTGGTGTTTAGGTAGAGTTGGTTGACCGTGGTGTTTAGGTGGAGTTGGATGACCGCGGTGTTTAGGTAGAGTTGGATGACCGTGGTGTTTAGGTAGAGTTGGATGACCGTGGTGTTTAAGTAGAGTTGGATGACCGTGGTGTTTAGGTAGAGTTGGTTGACCGTGGTGTTTAGGTAGAGTTGGTTGACCGTGGAGTTTAGGTAGAGTTGGTTGACCGTGGTGTTTAAGTAGAGTTGGTTGACCGTGGTGTTTAGGTAGAGTTGGTTGACCGTGGTGTTTAAGTAGAGTTGGATGACCGTGGTGTTTAGGTAGAGTTGGTTGACCGTGGTGTTTAGGTAGAGTTGGTTGACCGTGGAGTTTAGGTAGAGTTGGTTGACCGTGGAGTTTAGGTAGAGTTGGTTGACCGTGGTGTTTAGGTAGAGTTGATATATATATACATAACTATTGCTATACCATGTCATATATATACATTACTATTGCTATACCATGTCATATATATACATAACTATTGCTATTCCATGTCATATATTTACATAACTATTGCTATACCATGTCATATATATACATAACTATTACTATACCATGTCATATATATATACATAACTATTGCTATACCATGTCATATATATACATTACTATTGCTATACCATGTCATATATATACATAACTATTGCTATTCCATGTCATATATTTACATAACTATTGCTATACCATGTCATATATATACATAACTATTACTATACCATGTCATATATATATACATAACTATTG